GGCCGTCCAGGGCCACCCGCTGGCCACCGCAGCCCGTCAGCGCTTCGGGCTCATTACCGTTTCCAGGTCGACGTTCTCATCGGGAAGCAGGATGATCATGTTCAGCTCTCTGCCCACGTAGGGCAGCACCAGAATCTTGGTGAATATTTCTCCGATGTAGGTCATGTTAAAGGTAGATTTCTTAAACATCATTTGCACAGGTTTCTGCTCATTCTAGAAAGGAAAAGGGTAAACGTTAAGGTGAGACGAGACCCCGTGCGCACACTGGGCAATCAACAGAGCTGGCCCGGGGCCAGGTACCGTCCTGGCTTCCAGGCCACAGCAGCGCCACCTTCTGCCGCCTGAACCCGCTGCCTCAACCTGCAGACATGGGGGGCCCCGGGCTCAACCCTTACACTACCTTTCCCCTGCTCATGTCATTCAGTCTTGTGACTTTAACTAGGATTCTCAAATTCGTACTTCTCCCCTGTACTCAAGACTAAAATATTTTACTGCTTGCTTGACACCTGCATTTGGACATAAAAGAAACCTCCAATGCCCCACATCATGCCGGGCTCCTCACATTCCCTTCCAACTCAGCTCCACCTACAACTTCTCCACCTCAGCTGATGGCGACACCATCCACCCCACTGTGAAACCCTGGAGTCCCTTGACTCCTGTCTTCCACACCCCACATCTGACTCATTAGCTAATCATCTGACTCCAGTTTTAAAATATAACACAATCCAACTTGTTCTTTCTACCTGCACTGCTACCGGCTAGTGCTGCTCACTGGGAGACCTCCTCAGTGACTCCCTCGGGGCCCCTCCCCCTGTGATTTCCATCAAATCATCAATCAGACCACATCACTCTTTGGCTGAACACCTTTCCATGGCTCCCCCTCCATACCCAGGGACTGGAAACTGAGTCCTTAAAGCAACCTGCAACAGTGACAAGAGCTTGTCCCCCACGCCCTCTGTTCCCACCTCCCTGCCCTCCATCTGCTAGAGCCAGAGGGCCCCTGGCGGGTCTGTGGGCAAAGCAGGCCCAGCGAGCACGTCCCCAGGACACAGGGACCGTTTCCAAGAACCTCCTGTGTTATTGCACAATCGTTACCTTGCTGACTTTAAACGGTCTCTCCTGGGTGTGCTCCTTGTTAAACTGACTGTGCCAGTTCCCTTTGAAGTAGATGGCGTTCACGAGAACCAGAGGAGTGCCTGGGTTAACGGAACCTGCAGACAGCACCTCTGTAATTTTACCTGAAAAGAAGAATTAAAGAAGCAGTTAGCTGCAAGGGCCCTGAGGCTTGCTTCAGGGGTAAGATTCATTCTGCGTAGACAGATACACAGATGAAGGAGTTTACTGTCCTCCACATACAACCATGGTCCATAAACAGCAGCAGCAAAATAACTTAAAAATACCATCAGTTGAATAAAACACATGAAATGAAGAAAGTCCCATGTGCAGGATGAATTCCTAACAAGTGAGACAGGAAGGAATGGCTGGGAGAGGAAAGGCAGGAATCTAGCCAGGGTGGGGAGCAGGTTAGTGAAGACCCACAGGGGCCCTGAGGGGCAGGCGCCGTGCTGCGCAGCAAGCATCCCACCACTTGGGAAAAGAAAGACTAGATTAACATTGACAACAACAGGAACTGAAGTGTGGACTGTTCTGGAAGAGGTGCCCCGGATATTTAGAGACATCACAGACAGGCTGAGAAGAACAGGAAAATGCTAGAGAAAGTGGTCCTACAGTGACACTCTTTCAGAAGTGGATTTAAAAGTTCACACTTATTTTGAGAAAAAAATTCATTTCCATTGGCTGGCCGTGTGAAGGGCCTGACAGTGAGATCAGGTACAGTGCTATTCAAACAGGGTTAGCGTAGTTTCACCTTCGGTCTTGTTCGCCACCCAGGTGTTGATGTGTTTCCTGGCCTCCTCTGCAGCTTTGAAGAAGTCCAGCTCTTCCATCTCTGCTTGGTAGAATTTGTGGCAGGAATCTTTGAAAGACTGGGAGAGACAGCACACAATGGCAAGGGTGGAAAACAGGCAACATGCCAGCTTACCCCTCACTGCGACACACAGGACATGGGTAGCTTTATGACTGATGTGCAATGTGAGGAATAAATAAATAACATGAGAATAAATGAGTGAGAAATTAACCTGAAATTCAATTTCTCAATTTTCAGGTACATTTGGTCTTAGTGTATAAACTAAGTAGAGCAGTGGTCTGAATATCAAATAAACACCAAAAACTGCTAGATCCTAAGGGAGCAGCTGTGCACCAAAGAGGTAAATAAAAGACACTAGATGCAGCAACTTCAGACAGAGTGCCACTCCCAACAGCCACCGCATTTGCTAAGTGACATCCTGCCCACAGCAAGAGACGCTGCTCCCTCCACATTTCAGAACCAGGGCTACTGTTCCATATAATGCGGAGAAAATGTGTATTTCTACACCACTACTTCCTGCGATGACAGAAATGTTCCAAATCTAAGCCACAGATGACTCCTGAGCACTTGAAACACAGCTACTCCTGCTAAGGAGCTGACTCAAATTCATTCCACTTTAGCCCAGCTGGTGTGGCTCAGCGGTTGAGCATCAGCCTAGGATCCAGAAGATTGCAGTTCGATTCCTGGTCAGGGCACATGCCCAGGTTGCGGGCTCCATCCCCAGTAGGGGGTGTGCAGGAGGCAGCCGATCAAGGACTCTCTCATCACTGATGTTTCTATCTCTCTCCCTCTCCCTTCCTCTCTCTGAAATCAATAAAGACATTTTTTTTTTTTTTTTAAATTATTCCACTTTAAGGAACTAGGCTGAAATTTAAATAGCAACGTGTGTCTAGTGGCTACCATTTTGGAGGGATCATTCTAGCATATGACTCCTCCAAGAAGTTTAAACTATGTTTTGTTAAAACAGTCTATGAAATGACAATATCCATGAACACCTGCATTATGCCAAATAAAAGCAGATAATTTGATGGAAAGCAAATATACCAACACAATTCATCTGTTGACAGTATACTGGGGAATGGTTCCCAGTCTTTCTCTTGAACAGCTTGCAGCTAAATACTTACTCCCATTTTTCAGGACTGTTTTTTTTTAATTTATTTTATTGTTGAAAGTATTACAGATGTCCCCCATGTTTCCCCTTTCCTCCCAGGACTGTTTTCATGTTGTGGGATTTCAGACCTCTCTTTCAGTGGTGTAAGAGACACAACAAGGCACAAGAGCTTTGAACACAGGTCCCGTGACCTAACAGCCACGCACCTTTAAACAAGTTGCTTCGTCTCCCTGAGCCTCCTTTACGTAGCCTGTAAATGAGGAGACAGCAGTTCCTGCATCTCAGAGGGTCGCCGTGAGGCCCGGGTGAATTACCACTAGGGCTGTTTCAGGTAACGTTTGAGTTCTCAGGATGTTGCAGACACTGTACTAAATGATCTAGTTATATCGTTTCATTTAATACTCATATAATTCATGATTTGCCAGTATTACTGCTCTGTGTTGTTCTTTTAATTTTTTGATTACAGTTAACATTCAATGCTAGTTTCAGGTGTCCAACATAGTGTTTACACATTTATATAACTTACAAAGTGATTCCCCCATAAGTCTACTACCCACCTGACACCATACTAGTTATTACACTGTCTTGACTATGTTCCCTGTGCTGCACTTCTCATCCCTGTGAATATTTTATAACTGCCAATTAGTAATGCTTAATCCCTTCAACTACTGCACCCATACCTCCAATCTCCACCCATCGGCAATCATCACTTTGTTCTCTGTTATCTATGAGTTTGTTTTGTTTCGTTTGTTCATTTATTTTGTTCTTTAGATTCCACATATAAGTGAAACCACGGTATTTGTCTTTCTCTGTCTGGCTTATTTCACTTAGCATTATACCCTCTAAGGTCCATTCACGTTGTCACAAATGGCAAGGCTTCATTCTTTTTATGGCTGAGCAACAGTCCATTGTTACTTTATCCACTCGTCTACTGATGGGCACTTAGGTTGCTTCCATATCCTAGCTATTGTAAATAATGCTGAAATGAACATAGGGGTGCATATATCTTTTCAAATTCGTTTTCTGAATTTCTTCAGATAAATATAGAAGTAGAATTGCTGTGTCATATGGTTTCTATGTTTAAATTTTTTAGTTACCTCCATACTGTTTCCCAGAGTGTCTGCATCAATTTACAATCCCAGCAATGCACAGGGTGCCCTTCTCTCCACATCCTAACACTTGTCTGTGGATGTATTGGTGGAGCCATTCTGAGAGGTGTGAGCCGATATCTCATTGTGCTTTTAATTTGCATTTCCTGGTGATCAGTGACGTTGAGCATCTTTTCATACGTCTATTGGCATCTGTATGTCCTCTTTGGAGAAGTGTCTATTCAGGCCCTCTGCCTATTTTTAATTAGATTTTTTGTTTTGGTTTGGTTTCATGGTTTGTTTGTTTGTTACGGTGTTAAGTTATATGAGTTCCTTACATATATTGGATATTAACCCCTAATTAGATGTATCTCTGGTGAATATCCTCTCCCATTCAGTAAGCTGTTTTTCCACTTTGTTGACTGTTTCCTCGCTGTGAAGCTTTTTAGTTTGATGTAGTCCCATTTGTTTATTTTTTCTTTTGTTTCCCTTGCACCAGGAATCATTCAAAAAACATTGCTAAGTGTGACCTCAAAGAGTTCACTCCCTATGTTTTCTCCTAGGAGTGTTTGGGCTTCAGGTCTTACATTTAGGTCCTTAATCCATTTTGAGTTTATTCTTGCATGTGGTATAAAAAGTGATCTAGTTTCATTTTTTGAATGTCTTGGTCCAGTTTTGTCTTTCCCCCTTCGCATGCTCTTGCCTCCTCTGTCATAGATTAATTGACCATATAGCCGTGGGTTTATTCCTGGGCTCTCTATTCTGTTCCTCTGATCTGTGTGTCTGTTTCTATGCCAGCACCAGGCTGTTTTGATTACTATAGCCCTGAGGTGTCGTTTGGTATCGGGTAGAATGATTCCTCCCACTTTGTTTTTCTTTCTCAAGATTGCTTTGGCTATTCAGGTTCCATATACATTTTGTGGTTCCATATACATTTTAGGATTGTTTGATCAAGTTCTGTGAAACATGCCCTTGGTACTTTCATAGGGGTTGCAGTGAATGTATAAATTGCTTTGGGCAGTGTGGACACTTTAACAAATCTTTCTACCCATGAGAGTGCAGTATCTTTAGACTTACTTGTGTCTTCAGTTTCTTTTGTCAGTGTCTTGTAATTATCAGATACAAGTCTTTCATCACCCTAGATACATTTATTCCTAAGAATTTTGTTCTTTTCGATGCATTTGTAAATGAAATTGTTTCTTAATTTCTAATCATTATTAGTGTATAGAGATGCAACAGATTTTTGTATATTGAGTTTATATCCCACAAATTCTTCAATTCTTTACTAGTTCTAACAGTTTTTTGGCGGAGTCTTTAGGGTTTTCTGTGGATACCATGTCATCTGCAAATAGTGACAATTTTACTTCCTCCTTTCCTATTTGAATGCCTTTTATTTCTGTTTCTTGCCTAACTGCTCTGACTACGACTTTGGGTCATTGTTTTCATTTTCACTATCTCAAGGTGGACTTTGATTTCTTCTTTGATCTTGTTGTTAACCGATTCATTGCTCAGTAACATGTTAATTATCCTCCATGTTTGTGTGTTTTTCAGTTTTTTTCTTATACTTGATTTCTAATTTCACACCGTTGTGATCAGAGAAGACACTTGACATGATTTCAATTTTCTTAAATTTGTTGAGATTTGTTTTGTGGCCTAACATATGTTCAATCCTACAAAATGTTCCATGCACACTTAAAAAGAAAGTATATTCTTTTGCTTTTTGCTGAAATATCTATTAAGTTCATCTGGTCCAATGTGTCACTTATGGCCACTGTTTCCTTGTTGGTTTTCTGTCTGGCTGAACTATCCCATGATGTCAATGGGGTCTTCAAGTCCCCAACTATGACCATCTTAGTGCTGATCTCTCCCTTCAGGTCTGTCAATATTTGACACACATTTAGGTGCTCCTATGTTGGGTGCATAAGTGTTTAAAAGAGCTGTTGCTTCTTGTTGGATTGACCCCTTCATCATTATGAAATGCCTTTGTCTCTTGTTATAGCCTTGGTTTTAAAGTCTATTTTGTCTGATACAAGTATTGATACCACATCTTTTTTTTTTTCATTTCTATTCACATAAAATATTTTTTTCCATTCATTTACTTTTAGTCTGTATGTGTCTTTCAATCTGAGCCAGGTCTCTTATAGGCAACACATGTACAGGTTTTGGTTTTTTATCCATTCAGTCACCCTATGTCTCTTAATTGGCAGATTTAGTGCATTTACATTTAAAGTCATTTTTTGTAGGTATGTAGTTATTGCCATTTTATTGTTTTCTGGTTGTTTTTGTAGTTCTCTGTTCCTTTTTTATTCTCTTGTTCTCTTCGTTTCTAGTTGATGATTCTCTATAGGGGGTTTGGATTATTTTCTCTTTATTGCTTCCATGTCGTATAGATTTTTGGTTTGTGGTTACGATGTGCTTCATGTGCACCAGGCTGTGTTGACAGCAGTCTATTTTAAGTTGATGGTGGCTTATGTTCTAACACATTCTAAAATCGCTACCATTTTCACTCACCTCCTCCATGTTTATGTTCTTGTTATTTTTACTTTTTCAGTTGTGTTTGTGTGCATTCCTTAAACTGTTGTCGTAACTGCCTGTGATCTTGGGGCCGTCTGTGTTTACTGAGAGTTTTCCTTTTCTTTATATCTAAGCTAATTAAGGGTAGTAATAACCTAGGAAGTGGCTGAGACTGATGAAGATAAGTAAAGCGAGCTGGACAGCAATTTCACTAACGTTCACTTGAAAACCTCCCTTCCTTTCTTCTGCACGCCCACAGCAGAGGGCCACACGTATTCGGTGTCTGTGTGGCTCAGACTGGGTACAATCTGAATGCCCATCAGTGCAAGAATGGTTACAGCACAGCCACACTTAAGAATACCAGGTAACAGAAAGAAAACAAAACAAAACAAAAAGTAAAAAACTAAGAAAAAAATAACACAAAAACAGAAAAATGAGAACAAAAGAAAAAGAATGCCAGATAACAGTAAAAGAGCACAGTGGACCCGCAACACGCTGAGACACAAAGAATTGGAGCCACGGTGTCCGGTGGAAAGAAACAATTTACAAAAGAAAATGTATGTTATAATAAGGTTATACAGGGAAAAATCCCACAAAAAAATTTCTATATGTGTAAGGGGGATGCACTTCAAATTTCTAAAAGCTCTTACACTGGGGAGGGAAGCAATGGGGTGTGGGGTGTGGGAAGAAGCCACAAGAGCTCTTGCTGTGTTTATATTAGTACATAAGACTATATTCACATGTCACTTGAGTGGTTTTTAAAAACTGGAAAGCATTATAAATAAAGAAAACCACTATACTTAGACAAACAAGAATTTAAAAACCTGTGTTGGAAAAACAATCAAAGTATTTACATGTGTAAAAAGCTGAACATGTCTCGCACGTCACAAAAATCACCAATACGTAGAAAGTAATGATCAGAAATATTCATTTTGATAATTTCTTTGTTTAGGCCAATTCATCGAGAATTGCACTGTGCTCCATGATAGCTGTTTTCTGACGATTCATTTAAGTGTCACAAATATTTGGACAGTATTTGCTGTAAGGCCCCTTTTACAGAGGGTGAAACTGAAAGAGGGTGAAGGGAAGTGCGAGAGGTTAGCAGGGCAAGCTCGGGCTCAGCTGCGTGAACCTGCAGCCCACAAGCCCTCTGCTGTACCACAAGACCCCCCGCCGCCCGCGGGGTTCGCCTTCTCAGTGAAATGCAGCGAGTACAACTTACCAAGCTGAAGTCATAAGACTTTTCTCCAAAGAGCCTGTTGGCAGTTCTAAGCAAGTACTGTGTGCCAGTCCTGTTAACCTCGGCGAGAAGTGACTGGAAACACTGGTGGACATCACCTTTGCCACTGCTTTTACTTAAAGAAAGTGTCTGAAATAAAAAAACAGAATAAAAATGTACAACTTCAGTATGCTGTGACTTCAGGAAATTGGATACAACACTAAACTCTGCCTAAGAATTGTACCAGTCCTCACTACAGCTTAAAAGAAGATTCATCCAATTAAACACGAAAGTATCTTGAAAGCCCGTCTTCCCTACACCACCTCTTGAGTCGGAGACCCCGGCCTGCACTGGCAGGAGTGGAAAGGCCCTGCGCAGACCCACATCCTGGGTGCTCCACCTTGTCATTTGCCTGAAAACAAGGCTGTCAGCCTGGCCTCCCATTCTCAGTGAAGACAGGCCATTCCCAATACCAGAAGGTGCAGCCTCTCCCCTGTCCTTGGGTCCACACTGGCCCTGTGATTGCTCTGACCAACAGAATGCAGGAGAAGGGACACTGAGCCTTCTAAGGCCTGGCAGCCCCACATTCACTCTCCTGTATCCCAGCCACCTTGCTGTAAGGAAGTCCAAGCTATCCTGTGGAGGCCACAAGGAAAGCCTTGGAGAGCAACACCTCACTGGGAGAGCTACTTTCAAATGATGGCCTCGGCCACCTGTCAGCACCAAGGCCCCAGACATGTGATAGAGGACTTCCTTGGATCATGAGTGATCCCAGCTGGCACCATGGGGTCAGGCCACAAAATCTGAAAAATAATCAGTCATTGTTATTTTCAATCACTGAGTTTTGGGACCGTTTGTTTTGCAGCCGTAGAAGATCCACATAGCAATCCAGACATAGAGTTCTGCCATAACAAAGATCTAAAACATGTATAGCACTCACTTCGAACCCAGGCAGCTGGCAGAGGCTGGACAAAAAGGGAGGGAGGAGACTGTGAGGAGAGGCTGGAAGGACAGTGAAGGAATTCCTGCTGGAGGCTGGAGAAAGGGAGTTCATGGCATGGACTGGCAGAACCAGACAGACTGCCACCTGCAATGATGGGGAAGGCTGGACATTTTGCCAGTGAATCCTGGAGCTGGTTCAAGAGATATCCAGAAAGATCGTGGCTCCCTTTAGCTCCCTGGGATAAAGTACGGAAACATAAAGATGTGCTAAAGAAGAAATCATTTCATTTTCCAGCAGAATCTAAAGGAAGTGTTTCCAACCTAGGACCTGCTGGGTAGAAAATAAATTTTTTTTTTATCTCCAGTGGACAAATGATTCTAAAATTAAGACATGACCTCAGTGCAATAGTCAAATCCAAGCCCAGGCCTCAAGGGCAGAATAAAAATCACTTTGTTAAAACCTTGTAGAAAGATGAAGGAAGTCCTGCACAGATCCTCCTGCTAGGCAAAGAGGCCTTCTGAGCATCTAAAGGACACTGTCCCCAGCAGAGTCCTGCCTCAAACGGGGACCTGGCATGTGCTTCTGTCTACAGAAGCAGATTTACGTTGTCATACGGAACTCCCACACTGTTTAGAACACCTACAGACACTTTTCTTGGATTTCCAGCCTGCAGAACTGTGAGGAAATAAATTTCTGTTGTTTCAGCCATTTAATGTCTGGTATTTGTTATGGCAGCTCTAGCAGACTGTGTGTCTAGCACACAACGTGTGAAGGGTGTGTCCACTGCAGGTATCCTTCCCTGTGTTACCTCTGCATATTGCAGGGTGAGGGGGAAATGGCTGGTCTTTAGTTCACAAAGCTCTGCACCCAGGAACCACACCAAGGAGCCTCAATAAGCCTTTTCCTTTTGGACTTCAAGCCCGAGTCTGGCCCAAGATGAAATCAGACTCTGGGTCATGGGAGAGTCAAGTGTCCCTTTCCTACGGGAGGGCAGTGAACCATTAGGAGCCAGCGGGCAGACTATGGCAATCAGGGAGGGGCCCTGATGAGCTACATCTTCAGGCCCCGAGGGCCTCTCTGGGGACAGCCTCTGGGGCTGGCCACGTGACTGGCTTCAGCCCTGGGGCATCAGGAGACGTGACTGACAGAGACGAGTCTTGATCAGCACTTGCACATTCAAGCTTGACCTCCTGCAAGCTGAGGACTGTGCTGTAAAGAAGCCCAGGCCTCTGTGCCAAAGAGACACCCCGTGGGAGGCCGGGGCAGGGCCAAGGCTGCACAGTGGAGGCCACCTACGTGGAGGAGCTGAGGCCCCACGCCAGTGACCTGACACAGCTCCGCCCGAGGCAAGGCTTCATCTTAAGCGCTACATTTTGGGGTGGTGGTGACTCAACAACAAATAACTGAACCACCACTGAAAAGTTTTACAGTTAAATAAGAAAATTAAAATTTTTAACAATTGAAAAGCAGTTGCCAATACCCAGATTATTGCGGGACTCAACCTGGACCTCATGGCTTTAGGTCTACTCACGAGGTCCTGCACAGGCCACTGCCAGGGGCCGCTGAAGTCGCCCGCTCTCCCGACTAGAGGTGCCACTCCATCCCTGGCAGGTCAGGGGCGCTCGCCCCAGGGCTAACGTGTTCTTCCCTAGCAATATCCCACTCGCAGCCCTGCCATGCCAGCAGAGAGCAAGTCCTGTGGGGTTTGGAAGGTGGAGGACCAGTTAACTGACAAATCAATCATATTTACTATTGCCCAGAAATGGCGTCTGGTACATACCTGGACCATCTGGGCCGCGGTGTTCCCCTCTGCCCCCACGAGGACCATGGCCAGGGCAGAGGAGATGCTGAAGGGCGAGAAAAACACGTTTTTCGATTTGTCTTCACCCAGCTTTTTCAAAAGGTTTATGGCAAAAGTGCCATTTGCTTCAGACAGAGTGTCCATGACGGCGGGCCTGAAACAACGGGCTCAGTCAGTATCTCACACACAGCGGCCAGCCGGCTGCACCCCGCTCACAGTGCCGCTGACACTCGGGTTCGGTCCGCAAACAGCTGCACACACAAAACTCTGGGGCTCTGGGGGACCTCAAAATTATTGTTTCTAATTTTAAGTGAAAAAATTGAAGTTATGTTTATAATAGAATCCTGTTTTGTGGGACAAAGCAGGAGGACTTCTATCTGCCCACATGTCCGTGAGCCCAGAGAAGGCGTGGGAAGTGCACACTCACCACTGATCTAGTTACCTCCTGGGAGAGATGAGGAAGGAGTTACTGGCTTTTGGCTCCACTTCTGCATCATTTGGTGTATTGTATGGGCTTATCTGTATTACTTTACAATTTAAAATTCATTCATAATGAAACCATTGTAATTAACCTAGTTATTAATAACAGGAAAGGAGCAAAGGGAAGGCCAAATATTACAGGCATGTCACTGGGCAGCTTCACCAGGAAGCTAAGTAAACTGCGCAGCAGAACTTTGGGGCATGTGCAGTGGGAGCCAAAATGGTGACATAAAGGGGTGGAGTCTAGCCTGGAAAAATCTGGGAAAGGGATCAGCTTGGACGAGGGCAGAGAACCCCAGAGGATCCAGGAGAGGGGATTTGTTGGAGGGAGGGCCCAACACAAGCCCAGGAAAACCCAGGAAATATACTGGATAGTTTGAAAGCAAGCCTACTCATTTCCATAAAAACAAGAAAATATATGGATCATTATAAGGAATCTCGGAGCAGCTGCTGCTAAAGCCTGTCTGCCCTCTAAACCCCAAGGGCGTATTATTTCCCTTCAACCCAATAAAGCTTGCCACTACAAGTAAACTTCTCCCACAACGTGTGCCCTTTGAAATTCCTTTCTTGCAGCGCTTCAAGAACCCATTTTCACTGGCAACAATACTAAGCACAAAAACAGCTATTAGGTATTTCATACGCTACAGAAAAAAACCTTTAAATGCCTCCAGAGAACCACTTTAGATTTTGTCACATTGATGACAGGATATTAATGGAGATATCATATTAATATCAAAGAAATACATAAAATTAAATTTTAAAAGAAAATATAAAACTATAAATTTCAAAATATTATCTATGTAAATTAAATTAGGAAGAAAAGTGCATGTAAGCATAATTTATAGACAGAGAAGGGAAGGAAATGCTGTACACCAAATGTTTCTGATTTATAAGTAAATTCTCACTTCTTTTATATATTTCTGCATTTTCACATTTCTACAACATTCCTACTATACATGCACTTAGTTTAAAAACCAGTGCCCATCGCTGGCCAGTGTGGCTCAGCTGGCTGAGCATCATCACCCCATGCACCGGAAAGCGGACAGTTCAATTCCTGGTCAGGGCACATGTCCAGTTTGTGGGCTCAAACCCCAATAGGGGGCGTGCAGGAGGCAACCACTCGATGTTTCTCAGCAACGTTTCCATCTCTCTCTCTCCCTCTCCCTCTCTCCGAAATCAATAAAAACATATTTTAAAAAAAACAAACAACAGCGCCCATAGAGAGATACTACAAGTGAGAAGAGGTTGTCTTACCCACTGGCCCTGCCCTTTTCCCACCCATGATTCTCTTTATAACTCAGAATGCATTTCCTTTTTTTCACTTAACACTGATGTTCCTTATTTTAACACTGTCTTCCCCAAACCCATTTCTCTAGTCTTCTATGTATCTAGAACAACTTCTTCCCAAATGTCCTTACATGTAAAACCCGTTCAGTAATTTTTTTTACATGTTCAGATACAAGGAGCAATCTACCAGCTCCCTTTTTTTCTCCCAGTTGCCCACCCTGCTGTTGAACGCAGGGGTTTTTATTACAAAGGAATTTTCACAGACAGGAAACACCATTCCCAACTAAAATACTTTGGTTAATGGTCAATTAATTGTCAGTCTGGTGAAAATATTTTTTTCCCAAACAAAGCATACTGCTTACACACAAAAAAGAAATTTTTTCTTAAAAATTTAAGCACTGGTTACATCGATTAATACATCAGATTTTTAGTGCTTAAAACAACTTTTAAAACAAACTTACAGAGATCCAAGATGGTGGCAGATTGAGTGGAAGCTATACTGACACTCTCCCAGGACCAAACTGCAATTACAACTAAAATGTAGAAAAATAATCCTGAAAAATCAACTGCAACTGCAGACAAGATGGAGAGCGCCCTCATAACCAAGGACCTAAGTAGAGACCACACAGAGACTGGTAGAAAGTGCAGTCATTCACGCTGGACTCCAGCGGAGGGAGTGCAGAGTGGACTAGAGCAGTGTGAGGAGAATCCAGGGGGTCTGGCTAGGGGAACAGATCTCAGAGGGCACCCATCTGGACCCCGGTGCTGAGTCATTCCCCCATAAGGCAGAGGACATCCTCCTCAGACAGACAATTACCTTTCAAGCAGCTTTTGCCTTGGGGGGAAGGACCTGCCCCATCCTGCTGGAAAACCTCTGGCCCCACCCTGTGGAGTTTCTATGCCTGAGGCTCATTAAGAAACTGAATCACAGCCCCTGGGTGTTTTGAGTCTTTGTCTGATTTGCTTCTGGACCCAGGGCTTAGAAAAGAAGACCTTGGTGCACATCTTGGTCCTGTCCAAACACACCCAGCCCCAGCAGGGGAAACCAGAAGCTATGGAGTTTGGAAAACTTCAAACAGGGTACTCAAGGCCAGTCACAAACAGTGTCTGACATTGGCCTGTACCAGAGACCATCCAAAAGACTGGGAGTCCTAGCAGATCTACCTAATACATAGACACAAACCCAAATAGGCAGCCAAAATGGAAAGACCAAAAAAAAGCCCTAAATGAAATAAAAGAATTCTTCAGAAAAAGAGCTAAATGAAATGGAGATAAGCTATCTATCAGATATAGTGTTCAGAATACTGATCATAAGGATGCTCAACAACACCAAAAAAGAAATGGAAACTATAAAGGAAATTAAGAATGACACAGTAGAAATTAAAACAAAAACATTGGAAGGAATGAACAGCAGATTAGGGGAAGCTGAGAATAGGATCAGCAAATTAGAAGACAGGGTAGAAAAAGTCAATCAGAGAACCAAAAAGCAAAAACAATAAAAAAAACAGGACAGTCTAAGGGACCTGTGGGACAACAGGACACATAACAATTATCTCATCATAGGAGTGCAAGAAGGTCTAGAAAGAAAGCAAGGGTTAGAGAACCTGTTTGAAGAAATAATGGCAGAAAACTTCCCTAACTTGGTCAAGGGAAAAAGTCACACAAGTTCAGGAGGCACAGAGAGTCCCAAGCAAGAAGAATCCAAAGAGGCCCATGACCAGACACATCATAATTAAAATGCCAAAATTCAAAACAGAGAATCTTAAAGGAAGCTAGAGAAAAGCAATTTGTTAGCTAGAAAGGAGCTCCCATAAGGCTGTCAGCTAACTTATCAGAAACTCTACAGGCCAGAAGGGAATTGCATGAAGTGTTCAAGGTAATGCAAAACAAGGATCTGAAACCAAGACTACTGTATCCAGCAAGGCTATCATTCAAAACAGATGGTAAAATAAAGAGCTTCCCAGGCCAAAAAAAAAGGCTAAAGGAGTTTATCACCACCAAACCAGCATTGCAGGAAATGTTAAAGGGACTGCTGTAATAACAAGAAATAGAGAAACAGTAATAAAGAAATAAAATGGCAATAGATAAGTACCTATCAATAATAACCTTAAATATAAATGGATTAAATGTCCCAATCAAAAGACACTGGGTGGCTGAATGGATAAGAAAACAAGACCCAAATATATGCTGCCTACAAGAGACCCACCTCTCCCGCTCTTCCCCTCCTCCTCCTCTAAAATCAGTAAAACATATCCTCCTCCGAGGATTTTAAAAAAAGAAACAAATGACTCAGAAAGAACTTTTGAACCACCCGCCCCTTACCTGCCTGTAGGAATTCAGATATAAAAACCTGCTTAAGGGCAAGGAACATCACCTTAGCACTACAATAGAAACCAAAGGAAGAAATCCAGCAAAGCATGTTCATTGGACTCCCCTCTGTGCGCCATTGTTTCTGGGTAGCCCAGCAAGAGTTTGCTTACCACATATTTGCTCTTTCCCATCTCCCTTTAAATCGTCTGCTTTCCTTTAGAAATCCCAGACCCTGGTCCCTGGTCTTTATCAAGATGGCATATACTTACTGCCCAGGGCATCCTCAGGTCTCACATAAAGGACCTTAAAAACATTTGTTCACAAGCATAGAAAATGGGTGTTAAGGTTTTATTAATGAACAGTTTTACGTATGCATGTGTGCGTGTGTAAACATGTATAAGCAAGTTCAGCAACTCTATCCTGGCACCATTTTTCCCTAAAGCACCACTAGTGACTTTGCGCAGTCTTTGTTCAGAATAGATTTTATTCAATTGATCAAGTCTTAGTACTTTTTTTTAAAGTGTCACTAATTGTGTCCCCTGCCTTCTTGGATTAAGCATGCCTTAATTCCCCACAAAAAAAATTTAACCACTCAAAGACTAGTTTGATGGGGACTTGGGCTCCTCCTTTGTCCCTACCTTTGTTTCCTGTGTGTGTGTGTGTGTGTGTGTGTGTATAACGTCTCTGAGCAGCAGTTATCTAATATGTTAACAGAGGGTGATTCCTTCTACTTCTACATTTACTGTGAACATTAAAACAAACTAATGCCTGGCACACAGTGGGTAGTCAATAAATGGTGGGTAAATTATACACTATATTCTTTCTTCTGTTGTCTAGGTTTAATCTCAGGTCGAGCAAACTTGGGAATGTAAGGTGTGTGACCACCCAGGGGTCATACAATATATGCTTGGTGTGATGTAGGGTGTTCTAGTATAAACCAGCAATTTTCAATCTTTCTTTTTTTAAAATAAAAAAAAAGTCTTTATTGATTTTAGAGAGAGGGAGAGAAAGAGATAGAAACGTCAATGATGAGAGTCACTAATTGGCTGCCTCCTGCACTCCCTGTACTGGAGATAGAGCCCGCAACCTCGGCATGTGGCCTGGTCGGGAATCAAACCCTGATCTCCAAAATCATAGGTGGACGCTTAACTGCTGAGCCACAGCCGGCTGAGCAATTTTCAACCT